TCTTCGCCGGCCGCGCCCCCCCCCCCCCCCGGGCTCCGATCTCCGGTCCCGCCGGAACCGGCTCCCCCTCGGCTGGCGGTTGTTTCATCATCCTCGGGGGGCGGGCGAGGGCGAGGCATGCTGTTGCGGTTGTCTTCCTGCGTGCGCCCTGCCTCCGCCCGCCCTGCCTCCTCCCGCCCTGCCTCCGCCCGCCCGCCCGCCCGCCCCCCACATGTGTGCTCGTAAATGCAGACACACGCACCGGGCGGGGGATCGCCGGCGCGGGCCGGACCCCACACAGGGGCCTTTCCCCCCCCCTGGGGCGGGGCCGATCACGCCCAGCACGCCTCCCAGCCTCGGGCGGGCGGGGGAGCGCCGAGGGCCGGTCCCCTCACCGCGCCCTGGTGCCCGACCGCACAGCCCCGCTCCAGAGCGGCCCCCAAAATTATGCGCCCCCAGCGACCCACGCACGTAGGGGCCTCCTGCGCACACATGTGTCCCCCCGCACACAGCACGCCCCGCAGACTCGCGGCCGGCCGGCCGGCCGGCCACCGGCGACACCTTGCCCCAGCCCGCCGGCGGACATGCGCGCGCGCGCGCGCGCGCGCGTGTGCTTGCACACCCATCTGTGACGGTCGGCGCGGCGAGGTGCGGTGCCGCCCTTCCGCCTTGCCCCCGCTCCTCGGGCACGCCCATTGGTTGGCCGGGCAATATTTCAAGCCCTGCGCCCATCCCGTGCCGCGCCCCGGGCGCATTGTTGTTGACTCACCGCGGTGCCCGGGGGCCGCGCGCGCCCCCTTTCGGCGTGCCCAGGCCCAAGCCGACCGTATGCGCGCCCGTGCGCCGCCCACACCCACACATTGCACCCCTTCTGTCGCCGTCCCCCTCGGCCCCAAGAAGCAACCGGCGAAGGCGCTGGCCGGCTGGCTGCTGGCTGGCCGGCTGGCGTGTGCCCCTGCCGGGCCTCTGCGACGGCCGATCTCCCCCCCCCCCCCCCCCCCCCCCCCCCCCCCGCGGCGGCCCGGGGGCCCGCCCCCCCCCGCCCCCGCGGGGGCCCCCCCCCCCCCCCCGGCCACCCCCCCCCCCCCCCCCCCCCCCCCCCCCCCCCCCCCCCGCGCCCCCCCCCCCCCCCCCCCCCCCCCCCCCCCGGGGGGGGGCGATCGCCCCCCCCCCCCCCCCCCCCCCCCCCCCCCCCCCCCCCCCCCCCCCCCCCCCCACCTGCTCCCCTCTCCCGCACCCACGCACCCACACGCACGCGCGCGCGTCTCCCTGGCCCTCCTGCCCCGGCACTACTTCCTCCTCTCGCGGCCGCCGCCTCCCCCTCCCCCCGCTCCCGGCTCCTCGCTCCCCGCCCCCCGCGGACCCCGGCGCACGCGCGCACAGAGCACCCCGCCCGCATCATGGGCGACTCGGCCGTCCTCGAGCTGGCACAGTGCTTCCCCGACACGGATCGCTCCCTCCTTGAGCGGATCTATGACTTCAACAATCGCGATGTCGGTGCGTCCGCTCCCCTGCCCTCCCCCCCCTCTCTCTCTCTCTCTCTCTCTCTCTCTCTCTCACACACACACACCGCGCACTGACACCCCCCCACCCGCCGCCCCAGGCATGACCAAGTCCGCCCTGTCGAAGATGCTCCGCCGTGCTTCCAACGGTGCGCCGCAACCTCCGTGCCCTTCGCGCGCGCCCCCCC